AATGTTTGAACGTGTAGCAACAAATCTTGGTCAGTCATATGAGCTCCCAAGACCAATTAACGAGGCTGGCAAACCATACGGGAAATCTTCATTCCATCTTGCAAGCTTTAACAAAGCCTTCTGTAGGAAAAGTCTGCCTTTGGGTTATAGATGGCCATTGTTTCAACCCAACAGCACTGTGGATTGTGATAATCATGACTGTCAAGCACCAGTAGAGTCCTCAACCAAGAGACTGACATGTGGTCACTCATTTCACCCTGAGTGTTTGACAGATAACCAATGTAGCATTTGTCTGTCAAACCTCATTAAAGATGTACAGCAACTCTCCAACGCATGGAACATTCAGCTCTGAAAGCCAGTTGAAGATGACGATATTGACTTTGAGGATGATAATGATGATCATGATGAAGATCCTGGTGATGATGAAGATCCCAGTGTACCTACAAGCAGCAAAGATTATAAATATTTCAAGTCTACTTCTTTTAAGCAACACATTCAAAGTAAATTGTCATCATTAAAAGCAATACTTCACAAGCAACAACTAATTCCAGAGGAATAAATGATTTTAGTGGCGATTTTTTTAACCACACGATTAATATGTTAATGAAAATGTAAATAAATATGTAAATAGATATGTAAATAAATATGTAGATGATATGTACAAAATATGTAAATATAAATATGACCATGGAACTTTTCACAGGAAACTTTTTCAATTTCCCAAATGGGAAATTAATGGGAAAATTTCCCAAAGTTGGGAAATTATTGGGAAAACACAACCCAAATTTGGGAAAATTTTGGGGATTGCAGAAAGGCTTTTTTTAAAATACAATATATTCCCAAACTTGGGATAGCATTGAAACCATTTTCCAAACAAAACCCTGAGATGGGAATACAATGGGAATAATTTCCCAATAAAAATCCAAATATGAAATAATTTTCTTAACGTTTTCCAAATAAAACCCTGAGATGGGAATACAATGGAAATAATTTCCCAATAAAAATCCAAATATGGAATGATTTTCTTAAAGTTTTCCAAATAAAACCCTGAGATGGGAATACAATGGGAATAATTCTACCTTGCATTTGCATACAATCGAAGGTCACGTGAGATAGCAAGCATTGAGTATCCGAGCTCAGTGCGAGTTTGACGTCCGAGCGAACAGTCGGTAAATGAGAACTCACGTTGAGTTTAATACCAATTATTGGAATTTTACTCTATAAAGATGGACAATACGGCCAAATCAACACTTCCGAAACCTCCAGAAGATGTGGATTTAGAATCTGACGTGGAAGGGGACGACCTGAACGAGCCTAAGAATCCTGTGGCCCACACGAGTATACAAGAAAGGACCTCCTCGAAGTCCAGCCACCAAAATACCACAGAGGGCAGTAGTTCTGAGATAAAACTACTAACATCAGCCATTCTAAACTTAAGTAAACATCTTACACAGAAAGAAGAGGCCCCTTCCGTGAAGGGAAAAGGGAAAGGTCCGGCTAAACGACAATCTACAGATGCCGAGAATCTTCCCGCCAAAAAATCTCGCCATGACGGCCATCGCTCCACGAGCGAAGGCAAATCATCCTCAGAAATTACAGGGGATGA